GACCTCTCTCTCTCTTTCTCCATCTGGGCCCATTTCCTTCCCTCCTTCCTCTCTTCCCGTAACTCAGCCGGGCCGGGGCCGGGCTGGGGCAGATTCTGTGTAACCCCCCCCCCGCCGCCCCCGCACCCCCTGAATTCCCCTGGTGCCACCTTTCTTTGAAAGGGAAAGCGGTTGAGGTGAAGAAGGGAAGGAAACAGTCACAGCGAAAGGGACGGGCGGGCGGTTAACCGGCGGGGGGGGGGGAGGCGGTTGGATGGGTGCCCGTGGCACGAGGAGTCCAGAGGCCACAGCGGGTGGGCAGGATCCCCGACTCTCCGTGGGCAAAGCATGGGGGTGAACCCGGGCAGACCCGTGTGTGCAAGGGGGGGGGTTACTGGTGTGCAAACGGGTGGGGGTGAGGTTTAACCGGGTAGGGTTCTGTCGCACACGTGCAAACCCGGAAAAGCGTGCAAGGTTTGTTCCTGTGCCATGGTGGCTCACACACGTGCGAGCACAGGGCAAAGACGTGTGTGTGCAAAGGGTAAAGCGTGCAAGAGGCTTTCACGTGCCGGGGGGATCACACACGTGAGCACAGGGCAAAGACATGTGTGTGCAAAGGGTAAAGCGTGTGAGAGTCTTTCACCTGCAATGGTGGCTTGCACATGTGCAAGCGTAATGCAAAAGCACATGTGTGCACGGTTCTGGATAATGCCACAGTGGATTTCTCAAGCCTCGTGCAAGGGTTGAGCCGTGCAAGCTTCACACTGTGACCGGTCCCTCTGCCGGCAACATCGAGCTTCACTCGTGCGTGTGCAGGCCACCCACGTGCAAACACAGGGGGCAAAGCGTGCCCAGGCAGGCGGGCTGCTACAGCCCGTGTGCCTGGCAGTTTCATGCGCACGGCTGGGCATTCAGCACCCGCAGCCAGGGTTCTGGGCGTGTGTGAGGGCTGGGAAGGTGCCCGCATGTGGGTGCTTTACAGGAACACAAGGGGCTGTTTGCTGGTGAACACTGGTGAATTTTGGGTGTGCAAAGACAGGTGTGCAGGGCGTGCAAAGGGGACGGGGACTACGCGCTGAAGGGGTCTCTGTCTGGGCCAAAGCATGCGTGCAAAAGGCGAGGTTCACCATGCAAATGGTGCTTCGCCGGCCGTGCGACGTGGGGTCACATGAAGGGCGTTTCCATCAGTGCAAATGGTGCAAAATCAGGTTCCCCCCAGTGTGTATCACATCCCACTTGGCTGGCATGTGTTCAGCACGCACTAAGAACGCAGATTGTCACGGGGCGGGGGGCGGGGGACAGCCCCCCCCAAACTCACCTCCTGCAATCACAGCCACCATCGGCTTCCCCCTTTTCCCGTCCCTTCCCCCTCTGAGGTTCGCCCACCGCGCCAGAAAACCAGTCCCCGTCAGACTACTCCAAGCACAGCTCCCTCAGCTCCCCCGAGCATCTTATGCAAGACCGTCTCCCACCCACCAAACCCGCATCCTGTCCCTCTCCGAAAATCAGCAGCCTGCCGCACGGCACCCAACCAGCCCCCTCCAACCGGTGCCCTCAGCCCCGGCCCCACCGCGCTGCAGCCGGTGGCTTTTCTCGGGAACCCGCTCGGGCAGCGCTGACCCTGTTGTTGTTCCCCTCAACCCCCCCGCCGTCTCGGCCCCCCACAAGATGGGACTCGCTGTAGGTTACGTGACTTACGGGAACCCACCACGAGCTGCACTTGGCCTGCGCAGAGCTGACCCCAGATGGGCACTGGAGATAGGGCAGGTTGCAGAGCTCGGTCCAAGGAGCGGATGGGGGTCCAACCACATCCCCCGGACGAGCCGAAGGCGACTTAGAGGAGAGGAAGTGATTGCAAACCACACCTGACCTGGATAGCGCCAACCTCAACTGGTCCCCGACCATCCGTCAACAGAAGAACAGGGCTTGCGAAATCGCCCCAGGCGGCCTCATTTGAAGGACGTGGAGAGCAAGTCAGAGAAGTTCGGCCGCTGCCCCGTGACCGCAATTCAGGCTGGGAAACCGGAGACGGCTCCGAGAAGAGCTGGGAGAACGATCCCAGGCTCGGAAAACAGAAGCTCCGTCCAGCTGAACAAAGCGACCGATAAGGGGGTGACGTGATCCCAGCCTAGAAGTGCCCACGCGGGGAGCAGCTACGTGATCACGGTCGAGCAGCCAAAGCGCCAGCCATTGGCTGGAAGTCGCCACTAGACAAGTTCAGCTGTCGGTTTCTAACGGAGAGGGGGAATGAACAATTCCCCGAGGGCCGCGGTGCAGTCTCCATCCTAACTCAAGCCGGGCTGGTTTCCTCAAAGATCTGCTCTCTCTTGAGTAGGCCTGAATACAGGGAAGTCCTAGGGCCTGCGTTATTCAGGAGGTCAGACCCGACGGTCCTGTCCGGGCCTAGAGTCTAGAATTATTATCTGCAGGAGCGCCAGGAGCGCCGATCCCAGACCAGGCTGCAGCGTAGCCGTCAAAACAAAGGCCCGTTTGTTAGCGGTAGAAAAGAAAGTCTCTGCTGTTCCCGCACGTGGAAGAAATAGGAGACGTTTAATCCCAGGTTTGGTTGGGATCTAGTGTTCGGAAGTTGTTTCAGATCAAAGCAGGACTGGCAATGCCCCATCCCATGGTCTCCGGGGCAGGTGGTGGTGGGATAAGTCTACGTAGCTTATGGAAAGCCACCAGACACCTAAGTAAGGTCCAGCGAGCTCCACTCCAGAGATCACATCTGTGTAACTCACCTTGAAAGCAACCTGGGCCCGGACCGCCCTGCATTGGAAATGTTCACCCCAGACAGGAGATGTGGGGAGCTCAGATGTTTGTACCCTTGGGGGACCCACCACAAACCCAACCTAGCCCTAGGCGGCTCTGCTCCAGAGGGGACCCCAGAGACCAGTCAGACAAGGTGGTTTGGTCCACGTAGCTTCAGGGAACCCGCCACAAAAGTGAGCTAGATCCAACCAAGGGGCAAGTCACGGAGCAGAGTTAGGCGTGACCTCTGGGGAGAGGGGAAGGGTCATGATCTCCTGGCAGATCTGGACCAACTACTGTTTCACCTGCTGTTCTAATCGGCAGCCGCAGCCGTAGGAATCAGGCCGGAAGAGGCCTCTCCTAGGGGACCCCTGGCTGCGAGTTGCTGTGGGAGGAGGACTCAGCAGGGTGGAGGATGGGCGGGTTGGTGACGTCTGCTGGCACGGAGAGATCTTGGCTCATCAGGGAGTCTATCGGGTGAGGTAACCGGGTTGCATAACCTGCGGCATCTCTTCCAAAACCAGCGAGGATATTTTTGGCTCTGGGATGCAGTGGGGTCACTTCTGCTTCCGGCTCCGGGGGCTGAGAGGTGCAAGAGAAAAATCTCCGACCGACGAGAGGGGTGGAAACAAATGTATCATGGAATTTACATCCTGACACGCAGCCCCCAGCTCTGCCGGTGCCCCTCACTCCCGACCCACAGCCCCTGCCAGCCCAGCCCTGCCCCCGCCAGCTCTGCCGGTGCCCCTCACTCCCGACCCGCAGCCCCTGCCAGCCCAGCCCTGGGCTCCTCACACACAGCTCTGTGGCGGGGGGTGCAGGGGGTCCCCCAGCCTCACCCCGTCTCTCTGCCCCCAGGAATGGGTGGACTATCGGCTGAATTATAGCAACAGTGAGTTCAAAGGGATCCGCTCCCTGCGCGTCCCCTCCGACATGGTCTGGCTGCCGGACATCGTCCTGGAGAACAAGTGAGACCTGGGAGGGGGCCCTGGCCGATGCCCCGAGGCTGTGTGGGGAGGGAGGCTGTGGGGGGAGCCGCATGACTTGGGGTCTCGGGAACCCTGGGAGATTCGGGGAGAGGGCCAGGAAACGTCCACCCTCCTGTCTCCGGCGGTCCCAGCTCCAGCTCCTCGAACCTGGGACAGGGCCGTGACTCGGAGAACCAGTGGTTAATCGTGAGCTGAGCCAGCGTCTGGCCCCACTCGCTAACGGGTCGGTGGTCTTGGCGCAGGGGGGCCTAAGTGTGTTTGGCCCGCGCCTGAAGTCTCCATTCGCAGAACGGCCTGACGAGGGGAAAGTGTTTCTGTTTCTTTTACGAATAATAAGTCCCCCCTCTCCTCCCTGCCCGGTTATAATACACCGATTTATCTGCCTGGCCGGAGCTGTTGTTTTCCTCCTGCTCTCGCCAGCTACCCGGCCAGTCCACGGAAACGCCGTCTGGGCCAGTCCCGCCGCTCCAGGGCAGGCCTGCAGCCTGGCTCAGGTGCTCCGAGGGCCCCCCATCCCCACCGCGAGCCCCCAAACCTCCCCCCGGCTGCTGCCCGGGGCCAGAGCCCACTTGGCAACCACACCTTTGTTCTGCAGGTGCCGCCGAGCCCATGTCCCGCTCCCTGGCATCAGCCACCCGGCGTGGGGCTCCTTTGGGTCCGGCTTCAAGAGCCCTCTAAGCTAGAGAGGGGCCAGGGACCGGACCCTGGATCCCCACAGCTCGGGCCTGGTGCTACCGGCAGCTTGGCTACCGATTGCTTGTGCCAGCGGCCGCTGCTTTCGTTCGACGCTCTCGCTGCGATTCCCAAATGAGTTGAGACGAGGCCACTTTCTGGGTGCAGAGCGGTCAGCCTCCGTCCTTGGCTGGTTACTTCCTGCTTTCAGGTGACCCCCCGGCCGATGTGGCCAGATTCCCAGGGCTGGTATCTGGGCTGGTGCCATGCTTTGCCATTCTTTCGGTTGCAGCTTGTCGAATAGCTCAGACAGCCGCTTCCTCAGCTCTGTCGCTTTCCATCCACTTCCTTCGCTGTGGCTGCTAGTACGATCCCCACGGCCACACCGAAAGTCAAGCAGAACCGTCTCTGCAAGTGGCTCATGTGCCACGGACGTGTTCCGGTCTCTCTTTGCTGCTGTGTTGCGGGAGATACCGGTTACGTAGCTGTCCCATGGCTGAGGACTCTTCAGCCCCACTTCCCTGCATCCACCTCCGTGGAATTCATCCCATCTCATTGGCGGTGGTGGCAAATTCGTTTGGATTCCTTCCACTTAATCGACTGGGCTCTGCAATAGATTGGTTCATCGTACATGACCCCAGCCCTGTCTTGGCCCAGACCGTGGGGCGTAACTCAAAAAAGAGTCCTACAAAAAGCAGAAACTCAGTCAAATTACCAAGGATGATTATTTAAAAAAAAACATAAACAGGTAGGGACAAAATTAGAAAGGCCAAGGCACAAAACGACACTCAACTAGCTAGGGAGAAAAAGGGCAACAAGAATGCATTTTACAACTACCTTACAAGCAAGAGGACTTCCTGCACTTAGGACGGAAGAATCCCATGCACTGCTACAGACTAGGGACCGAATGGCTAGGTAGCAGTTCTGCAGAAAAGGACCTAGGGGTCACAGTGGACGAGAAGCTGGATACAAGTCGACAGTGTACCCTTGTTGCCAAGAAGGCTAACTGCATTTTGGGCTGTATAAGTAGGAGCATTGCCAGCAGATCGAGGGACGTGATCATTCCCCTTTATTCGGCACTGGTGAGGCCTCATCTGGAATACTGTGTCCAGTTTTGGGCCCCACACTACAAGAAGGATGTGGAAAAATTGGAACGAGTCCACTGGAGGGCAACAAAAATGATTAGGGGGCTGGGGCACATGACTTATGAGGAGAGGCTGAGGGAACTGGGATTGTTTAGTCTCCAGAAGAGAAGATTGAGGGGGGATTTGATAGCCGCCTTCAACTACCTGAAGGGGAGTTCCAAAGAGGATGGAGCTCGGCTGTTCTCAGTGGTGGCAGATGACAGAACAAGGAGCAATGGTCTCAAGTTGCAGTGGGGGAGGTCCAGGTTGGATATTAGGAAACACTATGTCACTAGGAGGGTGGTGAAACACTGGAATGCGTTACCTAGGGAGGTGGTGGAATCTCCTTCTTTAGAGGTTTTTAACGCCTGGCTTGACAAAGCCCTGGCTGGGATGATTTAGTTGGGAATTGGTCCTGCTTTGAGCAGGGGGTTGGACTAGATGACCTCCTGAGGTCTCTTCCAACCCTAATCTTTTATGATTCAATGAAGACCAAGGACAGGGTAGGCCCGTTACTCATTGAGGAGGGAAAGATAATGATAAAAAAAACCGCAGCAGTGGCCGATGTGTTAAATGCCTTTTTTGTTTCGGTTTTCACCAAACAGTTAGCGGTGACCGGCCAACTAGCACAGTGAACATCGGTGTAAAGGGGGAAGGATCTGAGGCTAACATAAGGGCAGAACAAGTTAAAAATTAATTAGACAAGTCCGATGTCTCCAAGTTGGCAGGGTCTGACAAAACACATCCTGGGATACTCAAGAAATGGGCTGAAGAGGTCTGAGCCATCTGTGACGATCTTTGAGTACACGTGGCGGTGGGCACACAACTGGTTGGAAAACCGTTCCCAGAGAGTAGTTATCAGCGGTTCACAGTCAAGCTGGAAGGGCATAACGAGCGGGGTCCCCCCAGGAATCTGTCCTGGGTCCGGTTCTATTTGATATCTTCTTAAATGATTTTGTTTAGGTTGGACATTAGGAAAAAGTGGTTAAAGGCTGGAACAAATGACCTGGGGAGGTCGTGACGTCTCCATCGTTGGAGGTTTTTAAGAACAGGTTGGACCAACACCTGTGGCGGATGGTCTAGAAGATAATACTTTGTCCTGCTTCTGTGTAGGGGGCTGGACTAGATGGATTTAGACGTGTTCTGCCGATTTGAGTTAAAGTCAGACTACGCCCTTTTTGCGATTGGGTTATGTCGGCAGAGGTGCGGCTGGTTGTCCCCCTCCCTGACGTTCCCGCCCCATTTTCGGTCTGTCCCTGCTTCAGTGGTTCAACCTCACGCATCCCAGTCCACCCCTTTCAGGGTATCCCAAAAGCTGGCCCGGCCACAGAAAAGTCTTTCCAGGGATGCCCCCAAAAGTCCACTGAGATGAAGGCTTCAGGCCACAGGGCAGGTTGGGGTGGGTGCCGATCTTTTGGGGTGCATGGGCTTTGGTGTGTCAATATATGAGGGTGTCTCATGGGCACCAAGGGATGTGGTGGTTTTGTTTTTGGGGCACAGGGATGTTGTTTTCCAGGCTGCAGTGGGAAGTGTCTGGGCTGCAGGGACTTGCTGACGCCCCCTTTCCCTTCTCACCCCCCCCCCCCAGCATCGACGGGCAGTTTGAGATCGCCTACTACGCGAACGTGCTGGTGTACCCTGGGGGAGCCATGTACTGGCTGCCCCCCGCCATCTACCGCAGCACCTGTGCCATCGAAGTCACCTACTTCCCCTTCGACTGGCAGAACTGCTCCCTTGTCTTCCAGTGAGTGAGATATGCCCACCTCTGGGGGGGGCGGCCAGTTACACGGGGACCCCTCACCTGGTGCTGAGATGCGCCCACCTCTGGGGGGGGTGGCCGAGTTACCCAGACGACCCCGTCGCCCGGCGCTGAGATATGCCCACCTCTGGGGGGGGGTGGCCAGTTACCCAGAGACCCCTCGCCTGGCGCTGAGATGCAGCCACCTCTGGGGCGGGGCGGCCGGTTCCCCAGGGACCCCTCGCCTGGCGCTGAGATGCAGCCACCTCTGGGGGGGGGGGGCCGGGTCCCCCGGGGAC